CCTAAATATGGTCAGCTGATATTCAGGGGCAAACTTAAATATATGAAATAATGTGATGCAAGACATAGAGTCATGAGACCCAGAACACAGGAATCTGAAGGCAAAGCATTGTCACCACCAAGCACACCCCCACTACAATCTTAATCTTAATCTCTGATCACACATCAACAGTGGCAACTCTAGGATATATTTTCTGAGCTTCCCAGAAGAATAGGAACCTATGGATGGCCAGAAATGACACTTTCAGACTGTGACAGACATCTGTTGGCTTGGTGTGGGCTATTTTTATATTTCTTTTTAGTTCAACTGCCCTATGTGCTCTGTCCGATGGGGGAGGGGCTTGACCAGTCCAGTGGGGGGCTTAGGCTCCTGCTTCTCCCTCCCACACTGACTATCAGGTGTGACAAATAAATGTAATATGTCCATATTTGGGTGTAATATGACATAATCATGCACATCACACAAATTTGTCAAAAAACATTTGACAGTGTGGACACAGCTTTAAGCTCTGTTCACACTGTCAGGTTCTATGTGACAAATTTCAAGAAGAAAATTCCTGAATTTCTCAATTAAAATAAATTTAAATAATTGGAAATGATACTTTCTTTTATCTGTGACTTGATGTATTATTAAATGATCTTATTAATTTAAATAAATGTTGATATTATCAGTGTGACTAAAGCAATACAGTATTAGACATCTAACCTTGTTACCTGATAAAACAGATCCAGTCATGTCATCTCGCTTGATATAAATATCAATATCATCTGGTATATTTGGAAGACTCCATTTATGAATAGGTGTAAATGGCTGAAAAAGCTAAAAAACATTTATTTATCCCATTAATTGAGAAAATTAATGGCGTAACTGGCGACTAAGTGCTATCTATATTGTATGCATTTGAAAAGTCTGTAGATTTACGTACATAAACTGATATCCAATTTTAAATTTTGAGAAATATTTTGAAAATATTATTTTGATCTTAACAATTGAATTTGTTCCACAGGAACTGAATGAGTTTGAACTGGTCATCTGGCAAACCTACTGTA